CAAATTGGTCTTCGTTGATAATCTCGGGTAAAATGGTGACCAGCCTGTTACTGAGAGCTTTACTGCAGATTTTAACATCAACGTTAATTAAGCTTATTGGTCTCCAAGAATCAATGAAACGGCTGTCCTTGCCCTGTTTTTCCAGTAACTTTATGACAATTTGATTTTGTGTATTCGATAATTTCCCTTTAATAAATCCTTCATTTAAGCTAAGTAATAAGTCTTCTTTAATATCATCCCAAAAACTCAAGTAGAACTCTTTCGAAAGGCCGTCATTCCCGGGAGTTTTTGAGTTCCCCATTTGTTTGAGAGACTCYAGGCATTCCTCTGYCGTTAATAAACCCTCACATAATAGCTTGTTTTCCTCTGATAATGAAGGAACCTCAAYTTCAGAAAGAAACTCCAAACACTGTCCTAGCGTTTTACTTGATCTATTTTTAAAGATCGYACTAAAATGCTGATKAATTTTTCGGAGTATGGATTTAGGGCTGATAATCTCTTCTGAATTCTCGTTAACCAATTTCTTTATATGTGTTTTTGATTTGATTTTCTTTTCAAGAGACAGAAAATATTTATTATTTTTTTCTCCGCTTTCGTACCACTTGGCTCTAGAACGTRTGATAATACCTTCCGTAATATAATTATTTAAACATTCTAGCTCTTTCATAAGTTTRTCGTGTTCTTCCACTGAACTCGGTTCATCTATCCAACCGTCCGTTTCTTCTATAGATTTAATCAAAGATTCTAATTCTGTATAYCTTGATTTTCTTTTTCTTGCATTACGTTTAGAAAACGATATGGAAGACTTTCGTACTTCATATTTTATTAATTCCCACCTTAACTGGGGATCCGAGATACCCTCTTTGTTCATARATATTTTAAAGTTACTAATTTCATTTTTAAGAAGGGAGATAAACTCCACATCGTCTAATAAGGAATTATTAAATTTCCAGAACGACGGACCTGCACTTTCTGTCGTAAAGGCCTTTAACGTAAGCGTTATCGCTGAATGGTCTGTATATGGTGCRGGCAAGATATCACATTTCTCTACAAAAGGTTGTAGGCAATCGGAAATAAGAAAAAAATCTAGTCTTCTATAAAGTATCTCACTAGAACTCCTCCTTCCTTGAGCTTTCCCTCTCCATGTAAAACGTTTAGTATACGGATTGCGGATTCTCCAAATATCACAAAGGTCATATTCCGACATAATGGCCTCAATTGTCTCAATCGATTTCGTTTTAAGTACAGGGTTACCTCCGGAAGATTCAAGAGCAATATCAAAAATTACATTAAGGTCCCCTCCAAATATAATGCATGTATCTGTGGGAATATCAACAGATTGTAACATTTTGATTATGTCGTTTAGTACTACAACCTGTTCGTTTTCGTGATTGGGCAAATAAACATTAATAAAAATATGACTTCTTATTATTGTATTAGCATCGTTTGATTAATCCATAAGTTATGTATTGTAGTGTAATGCTAAGTGTTTTTATTTATAATTTYGCAGGCAAAATCTCATCAAGTAAAATCATGGAAGGTAAATAATGCTTGCTTTTTCCAGGAAACCTTCTTGGAAGATTTTTCATTTGTAATATTATTTTGTTTTGAACGGAATGTGTTGTWTCTTCTAGGAGTATTTTTACATGTCTTAGCTGATACTCTCGGCAGTGTAGGAGTCATAATATCTGCCATGTTAATTCATCAATTTGGTGAGTATATTAATCCATGATACCATAAACTAGTAGAAGTTTATGTCACTTCTATATTACATATCTTCATATTATGRGAGATATAAAAACTCTTGGTAAACTCTTACTTTAAAATTCTTCCAATTAATATTTATCTACTTTTGCTGAAACATTTTACATGATGRAAGTTACTCTTTACATTTCCTGGAAATTGTTTGGAAATTAGATCAGGTTTATCTGAGGGTCATGCAACTTGTCCTATTTCCAGTTGTATTACTGCTCAATAATAATAATATATTTTTTGATATGTTATTGTAGGTTGGATGATGGCAGATCCTATTTGCTCAATGTTTATATCTGTACTAATAGTATTTAGGTAAGAAACTCTCCCTACAATTCTACTACTGCACTATTTGATGCATAATGAATGCAATCTTCTCTTTTCTTTGCAGGCTATTTATTATTATCTATTGTTATAATGGCTTCCCCTTTTTTCACAGCGTAATACCTCTACTAAGAGACTCCACAGGAATCCTAATGCAGAGGACACCGAAATCCTTGGAGAGCGTTCTTCATATTGCCTATCAAAGGGTATGTATAACCCTCTTTGTGTTGTACATCCCTGCAAACTCTCCTTGGACAGTCACTGTGTAAAGTGCTTGGACTATTCTTGGTTTCTTGACACAATTCACCACCATTTTGTTTTGAGGGAAGCTAAGCAATATGTTGGGCAATGCAACCACAAGAGGGATTTTCTATGTACATTGTGTTGAGCTCCAGTTGTTTTGCACTTGTTTTTACAGGTTAATCAGTTAGAAAATGTGTACAGTATACAAGACCCTCATTTCTGGACTTTAGACAGGTATTCAGTGATAACATTTTTCAAGTTTGGGCTTCCTTTGTACAATTTACACAGGAAGCCCATTTCTGCTGNATATTTTTTGATATGTTATTGTAGGTTGGATGATGGCAGATCCTATTTGCTCAATGTTTATATCTGTACTAATAGTATTTAGGTAAGAAACTCTCCCACAATCTTACTACTGCAATATTTGATGCATACTGGAAGCAATCTTATCACTGCAATCATTGCAAACATTTTGCAACAAATGATGCTAGGTCTCTTTTCTTTGCAGGCTATTTATTATCTATTGTTATAATGTTTTCCCCTTTTTTCACAGCGTAATACCTCTACTAAGAGATTCCACAGGAATCCTAATGCAGAGGACACCCAAATCCTTGGAGAGCGTTCTTCATATTGCCTATCAAAGGGTATGTATAACCCTCTTTGTGTAGTACATCCCTGCAAACTCTCCTTGGACAGTCACTGTGTAAAGTGCTTGGACTATTCTTGGTTTCTTGACACAATTCACCACCATTTTGCACGGGTAGCCCAAGCTCTTTACTTGATTAATAAGAGAATGTATGTGGTCACAGATTATAGTAAGAGGGGAAAAAAATTCATAAAAGTTCTGAAAATCGCTCCAGAKATTACCAGTAGCTATAATAATGCACACAATAAGTTATAGCGAAATTCATTGTATATTTATGCCATAAATCAACTGTTTACATAGATTCACATACATTCTCTTATTAATCAAGTAAAGAGCTTGGGCTACCCGTGCATTTTGTTTTGAGGGAAGCTAAGCAATATATTGGGCAATGCAACCACAAGAGGAATTTTCTATGTACATTGTGTTGAGCTCCAGTTGYTTTGCACTTGTTTTTACAGGTTAATCAGTTAGAAAATGTGTACAGTATACAAGACCCTCATTTCTGGACTTTAGACAGGTATTCAGTAATAACATTTTTCAAGTTTGGGCTTCCTTTGTACAATTTACACAGGAAGCCCATTTCTGCTGCACTTCATTGATCTCATGTTTCTGTATTGAAACTGCAGTGAGAATTCTATTGGAACACTTCGCCTACTAGTGGCACCCAATGCCGACACGCACAAGATCCTCAGTGCAACTCAYCATATATTCAACGAGGTAAAGCAATTGTTATATTTTTATACAATGACTTATTGATTTAGAATTTAACACTTTTTTACTAACATGACAATTCGTTTCAAGGTTGGTGTCAAGCAGCTTTACGTCCAAATAGAGAATTCGTTTTAAAAAGTTCGCAAACACCTTGGATCTTTCATGGACACAGCAGTGTACAGATTCCAATGAACATAAAAATATACTTTGGWTCTTTCTGAAATGTTTTATTCGAAAATYGCAGTTATTGTAAATGCAGTTTTTATGTCAGTGAAACAACTCTTGAATGGCATTGGAAAGAGCCAAATTCAACCCCACTGGGAGGGGTGGTGATATAGGAGTGGGAGGGGAGGGTAAAACTAACTTTTAGATAAGTTATATCCTATATAATATWATTATGAATAAAAGTGAAATACTGGAAGTGTGATATACAGTATTTGAAATTAAAAATAGAGAAAAAATGTAAATAGAGAAAAAATGTGCTGTTTACTGTGAAGTACTAATAGGTAGAAAATGAGTAATGTTGACTATCAAATAAAAAGACTTTTGCAAGAACAGCAAAATAGTGCCAAAAGTTACTACTGCTAGCAGCTGATCAAGAACTTGGGCTTACTATATGGTGCCCAGGAACAATAGACCTTTTCTGGAATATAAAGACATGATGCATTGTGGTCTAGCTTCTGTAAAAACACCTTATTTAGCTGCGTGAACAATATAGGTTGTTGCAATGAATCTAGAATGCAATGCATATATGCTATTGCAGAAAAGGTCTATTATAAGGCGACAATCTGCATTCAGACACTATCTATACATAAGCAG